CTCCTCTGGAGTCCAGTCAACGTGTGGCCGTGGTGTACTAGCAGCCACAATGTGTGTGGTGCGTGACATCCAAAGGTTTACAGCTTATTAGGAGGACATTTATGACTGGCCCCAGAGGTGTAACCCACTCTACCACCCCGGCTTAGAATTCATGTACGTTCTTATTCTATATAACCCTTCGGTTGGTTTGGGGTTGGATGGTGGGGGACGAAGTTGCTCTGGGAGACCCGCGGGGAGACCGCGATGGGTTGCTGTTGCCAATTATCTTAAGTGAATGGCACGATGTTGCGAATTCGAGTTTCACAAGACGTAAAGTCTCCAATGGGAAGCCCCGCGAGTCGGGTGTTAAGAGCGAAAGTTATCAAGGGTTAATAAGTCTAAACCTTTTACTCGCAAATCAATAAGTAGCACTCAAGTCAGCGTACTCTGCCGACTTCTTTGCCGATAAGAACTTCCTAGTTGTTAGTTGAGGAGATGAGGGAATAACGAATGAACATTGACCAAGGTCTAGTACATACTCTCCATGGATTGCTTACAACTGGCTGTTCTAGCTACCTGATCGGGTTCAAAGTGGTGTGTAAAAGTCCTAGAATGCCGACGGTTAGCCGAAGCCCTCCAACTGACGGGATTGTTGTCTAAAAGAACTCGGCGCCGCGCCGATCGTCTAGCATTGTTATGGATCTCCGTCTGTGACGTTGATCAAGGATAGAGAACGCTGGCCATGCCAAAATAGGAAAAAGTACCTATCTATGTGTGGGATATGTCAGCACGACTGTTAAAAAGAAGGTGTTTCTAGGTAGTCACAGGATAGTCAAGTGAATAACTTGTTAGGCTTGATTAAGTTTAACTTCATTTGCACTTCGGGCGAGCTAACACAGCTGCCGGCTACCATATATGCATATGCCCTATTCATTGGCAATGCCAATCCGTGGGCCAATCCTTCCTCCCTACATGGAGGAGTCGTGGTTGATACTTCAACCAAGTATGCCGTAACTGTACATTCTAATATGCTTCTAGTAGGAGTAACGCCGCCCTATGCCGGTGAATGGTATCGTATCTTGATCTCTTGATCTCGTCATCGCTCGCTTTCTATGGTCATGCCTACACCATAAACGACTCGCCACATCCGCATTCGCCCTCTGCATATGAGTTAGCACCGTCGCCACCGCGGCCATATCCTAAAGATGAAAGACTTACTTATGTTCGGGTTGCTGAATACGAAGCGCTGGTTCAGCTTGTCCTCGACCCAGTCCATCTCACTTCCTATTATGCTGAATAGGGCCTTGCTGTCGATCAACACCTTGACTCCGTCCTGTTCGACCTCTTCGTCGAAAGCGCCGGGCTTCTCCACGTAGTCCAGGTGGTACGATAGGCCGCTGCAACCTCTGTTGCGCACACCGACCTTGATCAGCTTGGGCTCCGGCTGGTCGAGCAAGTTGCGCAGATGCTCTACCGCCGACGGAGTGAGCTTCAAGGCAGCTTTGCGCGGTCGGAGTTTGCGCTTCGGAGACACTGGCTTGGTCTTTTGTGCCTCCTTCTCCGTGATCGCGGCATCGGGTTGCGCAGCTGCTTGTGGTTGAGTGGGCGGTCGCGTTTCATGTACTTTCGGTACGGGGCTTGCGATGGAGGTTTCCGGTATGGGTTCGTTGCGCGCCGGCGTAGATTGCTTGGGGTTAAGAGGGTATGGTTGATAGGAAGGTGTCGTCGGCATCTTCTCTGACGGCGCGTACCATGGCTGGTAGTTGGAGAATTGTCGTAGGAGGGCCTCGCAGGGTCGTGTGGTTGGGGCGGATGTGGTAAGCCGGCGTCCCAACAAACCGGCGGAAGCTCGTGATAGAGCTATGCGCGGCGAAGCCATCGCGCCGTGATTTGTATTGAGAGGTTAACCGTACAGACTTGAACTGGTCGAAATATCTGTGGTTATTTGGAAGGTAGTCGTTAAAAGGATGGCGGGGTTGAATTGATAGGTGTAGGTATGTATGTAGGTTGGTTCGTTGTTGGTTCGAAAATGGTAATGACAAAAAAATGTGACGCTGATTTGAAATGTAGAACAGCACTTGCACCTGCAGAGCCGAGATCTGATGACATCGGTCGATTGTGACCCGGCTTTGGCCGTAGCCAATCAAATAGTTTCGATTGGTCAACCATTTTACCGGGTGAATGGGTAGCACGGGTTAAGTATTAATCCGGCGACCGTTTCAAGATGAGATAAGATAAGATGTTAAAATATACATACATACATATGTACATACATGTACATACATACATATGTACATACATGTACATACATACATGTACGTAAGCACAGTGCAGTACGCGGCATGTGAATGTGCAACTACACGGTACCACAGAAGCCCGAGCATGGACCATTGGTGTCGTGTCGTGTCGCATTGCCTCGAATATCTCATCCCAATCCCATTGCATTGTTCGTGATGTGCAAATCATAAAATATTCACAACGACTTTATTCAGAATCGCATACAACCACATTCAACTATTCACTTTACTTTTCTGGTGAAAGTATGTTATTCGTATAATTCATGTTGCATTCATGAGTTATTCGTCCATGCATTGTTCTCGTCCTCTTCAGTCATGGAAGCCTCTCCCTTAACCCAACAGGCCCGGCCTGAAACCTTCCAGCCGAAAATTGTCCAATTGTACGAGGCGCTATTCAAGGTTCGGGAGCATTGGAAACCCCTATCATTTTCGGTCTGGGCAAAAGCTGACAATGGGAATCCAAGGTATGTCGACACCGTGCTAATAAGAGAATGACACCGAAGGGGTCACTGACCATCATCATCACTCGGGTAGGATGATGTCGACGTAGAAGGGGATAAACCTGAGGGCTTCTGGCGCGAGTTTTTTCTCTTAAACCCCGATCGAACTTCCCTAAACCGAATACTGGCGACGTTGGGACCAGACGATGTTATAAGCCTGCAGCTGCAAACCCAACAACTATTCTTTCGAGCAGTAGAATGTTTGAAGAAGGGCAACGACGTCGCCGACTTGCATGCACTCGAGGTAGAACGAAACCCGACCCTAGACCAAATATAGAAAAAAAATATAGAGAACACGCTTATAACCGATACCACAGACGCTAACGACATTCTTCTCCGCCATCCTCCGCAAGAAGTATACGAACCCGAGCTCAGATATCATAGCTGTGTTGGCAGGGCTGGATCAAGTCGACGCAGTCTTCTCTGATTTCGTAGGAGCATTGGACGGGATTATTCGCAATGGCAAAACGAGTAGGTCAACATTCATCATTACAAGATGACTTCACTCTGATAATAGGGGTATTAGTGGAAGTACGCCAGAGAGCCGTCGAGGTTGTGTTGTCCATTACTTCGGGCGCCTACCAGACGAGTCTCCTAACATACTTCATACAACGGGATCTCTTCCCAGCTATGATGAAGTTCATTCAAGAGTCGGACTCACCAACTCGGGTTCTTCAACCGTTCACCTTGTTGGGTCTACTGGCAAACTATAACAAGTTCGAGTTTCAGAACCCATATCAGCTGCGGTTGAACGACTTCGTTAATGAAGCGGCTATACAGAAGATCATCCGATGTGTTGGGTACACGTGCCGGAATCTGCGAGGTCAATACATTGATATCATACAAGACCTACCCGAAGGGTGGTCGATCTCCAACACTCTGAACATGATTGGGCTCGGAGCCATCGCCCCTGGCGCAAAGGCAAACCAGAAGCCCGCGTATGATCCGGAAGAAGCTAAGCAGTTGTTCGCGAAACTGTACGTTCTCAATTCACTTACCATAGAGCTACTGTGCTAATTGGACTAGACCAGGTGAAGATGCTGCTGTGCTACTGGGGACTTACGATTTCAGCCATGCCAACAAGCTCTTCTGCTTTAATCTCGTCACGCTGCCCGCCGAAAAGGGCGAAGAGCAACCCATCTCCAGTTTCCTATCCCTAACCTCTTACCTCCTCCAGCATGCGTTCCTCTCCACCCGAGCCACCAACTACGCGCATCTCAGTCTGATGGTCTTCCGTCTAGTCATAGAAGACCAACTCTTGTGTAAGCGCATATGTAGCGACGATAGTAAAGTTGCTGTGCGACTCTGCCGCCAGCGACAGCCCTTCCTACCAGCCGTCCGAGGAGACCGCATTCTAGCAACGAGTGTCTTAGATACTATGATTGATGGTATCAACCACAATCTGCGCCGCAGGTTAGATACCAGCCTTTACACTCTATGTGTTGGCATCATGCTCCGCATCATCTCGTATCTTTCACGATCGCGAACGCGACTGCAGTACCATTGGTCTGAGCTGTTTCGCTCGCTCTTAGCCCTCATCCGCTTCCTCAATACCTATGCATCGGATATCAAGACTTTGTCGCACTTTGACTCCCTCCTGGATCTCGTCGTGAACCTTCTAGCCCTCTCCCTCTCCGCCGGAGAGGCATTTCTGCCCACCCCAGCCGCTTATGATGATCTGTTCTACAAAGTTGTAGAAAGCGGTGAGATTCTGATAAAATTCTGCGACACCTATAACCTATCGAGCCGGCCGTCCAATTCGATAGGCACATTGATTAGCGTGAGCACGCACTACAAGACGATGCTCGACTCCGGCGGCTCGAAAAGAAATCTCACTAGCACCGAGGTAGCAGATGTGATTAAGCAGGGTTACGAGACGTTAAGCATCCAGGCAAAGGAGGGACTGGACGGTTGGGAGAGGTATCGTGAAGCAGACGAGAGAACGTTACTTAAAAAGATGGCTCGGGCGACTGTGACAGATGTGCAGATTATCGTGCAAGCTTAGGCAGTGTGGGGCGGAAGGCAGTTTATGATGTAAAATAGGATTGCCGTTGTGTAGAATAGAGCGGATGTTCACTGACAAGCGATCGTATAGCTTCATGCTTTATATAAATCGAACGCTATGGAAATGAATGCCAAAAAGGAAGCACAAGAAATAATAATTCAAATTAAAAGGAAAGAAACACATCAATAATAAGAAAAGCAAAACATATGAATCAGTAATTGTCCTCGGTGAGGCTCGAACTCACGACCTTTGGATATCCCAATCTGAAGATTGAGTCATGTTCCTATGAGACCAACGCTCTAACCAACTGAGCCACGAAGACTTATTGAGGTTGGGGTTTTGACAGTATAAGTAGAATTCTCCAATGCTCTCTAAATAATAGTGGAGCCCCACCTTAGCTCAACGCCGACTACGGAGCCCATTACATGATTTGTGCGCAATCGTATGATGATTTTTTTTTTACAGAAAGATCCATCGACGATAATTTTTTTCAGGTGAGGTTCAAAATTGAACTTCAGTCTTAATGTGGCTGCAACTTGAAAGGCGTGACGGATCTTTTACTAATCCATGAGCGTAACATACATGAGATCAGTAGATTCGGCATTCTAAATAACTGAAAATTACATTTCCATTGCCTTCGCAGATTTCTAGGCTTCTCTAGCCATGTAGCCCGTGACGCAGTGTGGTCGGGGTTGAGAAAGTCGCTGGTCGCTACACGTTGCGTGCAGTCTAAAAATGTTGAACGGGTTTGTATACCCCTATTTCTTATTACTTTTTACCAGTCTGCCAGTGTCACTTGCAATTCCGACTTTGATCTATCTCATAGAACGATGTCAGACGGCCTTATTTCTTCTCATCCGTTTCATCGCTCTTAACTCTCTTCGCAATCCAGTCGGCCCCGATCCAAGCACCGACTCCGCCTCGAACGAACGTGTTCAGCACGACGACGGCGTTGTATCCACCCGCACCCGCGCTTTGGAGAAAGGCAAACGGGGAGTTCGCTGCTATAAAACCGCCAAAAGATGACTGGGCAGCTGCCGCTGCGGTACCTGAGAGCTTGTGAGTTAAAACTTTGGGAAGGTGGAAGATACGTAGCAGTACGACTCACCAGGTCCAACGCCCACCACTCCAAACCCAAGTGCATTCACTACAGGTCCCCAGAGCAGTCCAGGCATGAACATGAGACCGACTTTGGTACCATCTAAGACAGCATTGAGTATTGTTCGACCGGGATCTCGCTGCAAGTTCTGGTCCGCCTCCTCCGTCCACGCCGCAGCGCCGTGGCAGATCTGCTCGAGCCCCTTGCCCACGTCTCCCAGAGCAATGCTAATGTGCAGGCCTGGATTCTCGAAGAAGTTGGGGAGCTGCACATCTGGGTTCCATTGATTCGTCGTCGTTCTGTATCGCCAGCTGTCGCCGATGTTGACCTTGCTAAGCTCCCGCCCGATGTCTTTGCCCGCTTGTTCTAGCCACTTGCTGACGCCGTTGGCCTCTGCGTGGGGCGCATCTGCCTTGTTCACCGGGATGGGGTTGAAGATGTTCTCGATGTCTTTCTTGGCGATGTTGAGGTGGAAGCCGGGAGCCTCGAAGATCGACGGCCATCGCGGGCCTTGGACGCCAGGTGGGAGGTTGGCCGCGGTGCATGCGAGGAGGCCCGAAAGGGGAACAAGACTAGTGAAGTAGAATCTCATCGTAGGAGCTCTGCGGGTACCTAAATGGAATGGCGATAACTAAGCCGAGGCAAATTGCGACTCTAGCAGATAAATGGTATTGACGGACGTTGCTCTGTTTGATTTCGATTTCGCTGGCATGATTTGGGCACGATGCAGCTTTCCGATAGGCGCTGCCTTCTCATTGGGCGCCACCGTTTGTCAATACCTAAAATTTTAACTCGGGGACTTTTTGACAGCGCAGCCAGTACGCGAGTGCTACTATGTCTTCTTTCTCTTTTTCCGGCCGCCTGTGTTCACCTCATAAATATGTGACATGCGACCCTCTGAGCCATAAAGTCTGCTTAAATCCCATGTTTCTAGGTGCTGTGACCTTGGCGTGATGGATTAAAATAACGCTGTTCAAGGTCTCATTGCAGCCTGCATAGAGTAGCAATGAACCGTCGGTAGTAACACGAAACAAGTTCGGACGAAAAGTTCAAATACTACCAGTCACTATTTTTACTCCGAAGTTGAACTTCCGGCTTCTGAGGCAGCCTGCACGATATCCAAATTGAATTTATCGTTCTATATTTACATTGCCGCCATAAAATATAACAGATTACTTCTTAAGTAGTTGATTATCTCCGGGTAATTTTGAAGTTGAGTAGGTAGGTAGGTATTCTATTTGGACACGGTTACAGTTGATCTACGAAACCTCTAGACTATTTCCTACGTGTATGGCAATCGTCAGTTTAAACATCTATTTCATCACTCCAAAACTACCCGATTAAGTTTCTTCTGTTCCCATACCATATTACGGGATATGTCAGTTAGATGGGGGTTTGAATTATTCAGCACGATGATATGCTCTGGTGGCAATGCTACGTGAGAGATCGCATGCCACAAACATTCCTCAGACACTCTATCATTCGTGGACCCAAGCTTCTGGTTTCCTGGATCATCGTACGTTATGGCTGCGCTGACGACTGCCTTGGAAAAAGATTGTTACGACCATGAGTCAATATAAACACCCCGTCTTAAGCGATCAATTATCTACTTTGAAGTACCGGGAGGCTATCTCGTACCATATCTATCCTTTATCAACAACGAGCAATAGATCGCTATCATCCTATAGGAGTGCTACTTTGTATCACTTAAGGGATGTAGGCTGTTACATAGCGGTACGCAATAGGCAGCGAGTCTCCCGTTGTCGTCAGCATAGTCTTAACCATCACCAATTCATCGTCATCACCTCCCTCGCCCCATATATCCACACCTTTCAGCACGTGGTTCGTGAGACACCAGACGCATGAATGCTGTCTCAAGGTTTAGGATTTTTAGGATTGCTTCAATGTAACCTATGCACTCAACTGAGTCGACTATTTCTAGAGAATAGGATGGTGTAGCGGGTGCGAATACGATATGCCGCGTATTTTGTAGGACTTAGTCGCTACGTGAAGCTATAAGATAGGTAGTGATATATCTCAAAACGACTTATAGACCTGTAACCTATATTTGACGATTTACTTACGCCTTTGGTTAATGTTTTTCAGGTCCCAGTTACTCATATCTAGGTATGTACAGATGTTTTGATATCCGAGGCGGCCTTGGTAGAATCCTAATGGTTTTCCAGGCAACATGTGTGATTGGGAACGGACACTTTGCTCGACATGCAATCGTGTAGTCCAAGACAAATGCATCGGCCCATGCCCAGATGCATATCACGCGGTATATACTGATGGAGCAAACGTGGAAGTTATCTACGGAACATGCGGACCCTGCAGCCGTCCTACGCCGCCATGATGTTGGGGGAAACTATTACGAAATAAATGCAATTCCAAGGCCACCGGATGACACTACGAGTCTTTGCTGAAATAGTATGATGGAATATTATTCATACGATCCAGTAGCCTCGTTGTTGGGAAACAGGGGTTCCTATGGCGATTGTGGTGCTTCCTTACTGTTAATGAGACGAGTCTTAAGGTGTTAGTGGGCATTATTCTATGTGGTTGACGATATTATGATTGATGTCTTGGGTAACCGTGGAAGTTTATCAAATTTACTCGCGAAATCTTCCAATTAGCTAGTTGACTAATTTGTATTATTTTGAAGCCGTAACTCCAGTTCGTTATAATGTAGGAGGTCATTTTAAGAATGTATCGTAAATATTGTGGAACACGTTGAGGACAGTCAATCTATCTCCGTGGGGTGCAGCGCTCCTGCATGAGAATGGGGGCCTTGCCCGCATCGAGATAGATCAGCTGTTCCTCGAGAACCCTGAGGAGCGCCTTCAGTTTACCCCCATAGGGGTCCTTGGGTAGAGCCTTTTGTTTGCACATTTTACAAACGCCCATCAAATTTGGTCAATGATAGGGAGTTAACCCCCTTTTATTTCCGACTCCAACGATAGCAGCAGCTTGGCTAACTGCCTGTGTACCTTTTAGCTCGCGTAATGCGCCTCCTACGTAAGCCCTTGTCGATCGTCGCCATCATTTAGGAAAACCGGTCAACTCCAGAGATCTTGTAACCGATACTTGACGGAATTCCTTAGTAATTGATGGAAGGTTCATTCCGGCCGAATCGAGTCATACGCATTGCATCATGGCAACCATATTGTACAACTTGAGAACTACAGCAAGCTCAGTTCGGCCTTCCGACCGCCCTTTCTACCATTAATCATTAATACATACCTAGGTACCTAGTGTCTTAAAGATGCACACAGGTAGGTGCATACGAAGAAAGCGAGGGCGTACATCCTAGGTGCGAGAGTAACACAAGTCCAAATAAGCCAATGTATCAAACACCCCTTCACGACTATGCCATAAGTCTTCGGATCATAGAATACAGGTATAGAGGCTCCTGAATGAGATGATCTCATACTATTAATGTTAGAAACACATAACTGACCCTTACTAGTCTCAGCATTTTCATTCCGCATAGAACTTCCGTGGCCAAATGTTCATAGCGGTCTTTAAACCATCTTCCACCGGCAAGCCCGCATGAACAGTCCGCTCGTCTCCCGTCCCGTTCGCAAACAGGTTGACCCAAAACAGCGCATTGCCAGCGACGGGCCGGAACGCCAAGCCCCCATCTTCGTGCTTCCTCCAGAGTCGCTGGCCTGCCTCATCTTTCTTCGAGGAGGCGGTAGTGTTTACGAGTGGAAACCATGTCTCGCCGCCCGTGCACTCATCCTGCAAGATAGCGAAGAAGCTTGCAATGCGGTTCCAGCTCTTGCCCTTGCCGAGCATACCCCGGCGTGCCGCCTGCGGGCGCTCGTACCAATCACGATGCCTGTTGAAGCGCTGGCCCGCCGTGTAACGCACCAGCTGCGGCGGTCCGATGTCATCTCGGGAAGAGTCTAGCATCGTGCCAAGAAAAGTCTTCGCCCGTGCCAACACGCACTGCACGGTAGGGTTTTCGCGCGGCAGCGCAGCGGACGAGGAAGTCCGATCGGACGTTCCTTGATTGCGACCGCTCTTATAGACTCTGGATGGGGCGAACTCGGGCTCGCCCGCTTCGAGGAGAGCCTCGGTCTCGGCTGGTGAGAGGAACGAGTCGATGTAGATGAGAAGGGGATCAAGCGAGATGATCTCGGTCGTGTAGGTGTGAGGAACACAGCTAAAAGACGACAACGGCGGCTGTGCAACTCGCTGGCTGAAGGCTTTTGCGATAGATGGTGAGAGCGAATCGAGGTACGGAGATAGCGATGTTAGATATGGTGATGCGAAGCGGTAAAGAACCGGTGCTAGTACGGCGACTACGGTAAGAACCAAGGCTGCGATGCTCGACAGCCGAGTTACTGGAGCCATGATGCGCCACGACTAATACCTATAACCCACTTTCGATGTAGTCGGCGCTGCGGTAATGAAATTGTATATCGATTGAGTTATCAAATACAAACCAAATCACCGAACATTTACAGTTAACTCGAATCGCGAGGCCTATCAATGTCTTAACATATTCTCCTCAACATGCTCGGAATACCTTGTTCCGAATGAATCCTCCCATACAGCTAGGTAGCTACTGATGCTTGTCGCACCGGTGGCAGGAGTGGTGACACCGCATCGGCTGAAGAGCCTGGACTTTTCGGAATGGAAGACGGTTGCAGCTGATTGGGGAATTAAATACAAATTTGGCTATTCGATGTGACATATCACCTCCACGCCCATGTCCGAATGAAACATTTACTAACATAAGCCTACCTATAAGAACCGGCCATCTACATCATTTTCCCGTCATAGAAAATCTCATCCTAGCTATTTCATGCGCTGCTGGTTCCGAAGCGGCAGCGACGCTCTTGGCGATATTCGGGATTTACCTAGGGCTGAGCAAAAGCAATTTTCTGTCCGTTCATAAACGCTCAATTAAGCTTTTCATAACAGTTAAATGACATATCAAGTAACACCACCTACAGAAAATCTATCATATAGCTAGCTTCCCGTCTACCATACTACCCAGATCTCATATTCTTAATGGTTTTTGATTGTCTCGTCAGTGCATTCGTTCAATTTCCTTACAATCTTTCAACAGAAAACGAATGGTGCTTATTACTGCGATCAAAGAAGGTTGTCATTTATCGTACCATAGCACACATTGACGCATGCGGCCCTCTCGCTCACAAACCAAAACAAATCGCAAAAAGAGCCAGCAAAGTCATGTTTGTTCTCTCGATCGGGGAATTGAACCCCGGCCACCTGCGTATCCCGTCCTACAGACTATAGTCAGATGACAAGCAGGTATCCTAACCACTAGACGAATCGAGACTACGTTACGCCGTCATCGAAGAATGCTAATCCTCACTCAGTGGAGTTGTGATGAAAATTTTCAATCCTTAAAATTGCTTGTAAAGCATTAATGTGTTATGGGTGGGCCCATTAGCTCTAAGAATGGAAGCTATCGCAAATATCCATTGGCTGGCAAGCGGTAGCTAGCATTGTATTGTACTACACACAGTAAGAATTTGAGCAGAAACAAATTCTACGAGTTTATTCTCTCATTAGCCACGACTTTTGGTTTCACCATTCAATTTGTGCACGCAAGTTTTCACTAATGGGTATAATCATGGATGCAGCTTTTAAGCGTGGAGTTGGAATAGAGTCTTGGATGCTACCTAGGTACCTAGGTTATATCCAGGGCCGAGTCTAAGACATCGCTCTAGCTGTCAATGTAGCGTGCTGGCGAAGATGTGATCGTGAGAGGTACCTTACATAATCTAATACGCGAACTAGACTGACAGAATCACCAGAGTATAGGTGTCACTTTACGTTATGGCACATCAGTATTAAATAATTAGAAAGGGGTCAAGTTTCGTTATGACCGCTCCAGAAGCTGTTGCACAATCTTAGGTAAGGTGTGCAGCTCAAGACCCATACTTATGCAGCTCCGTCTTAAGCTTCGAGATTAGCGTCATCCGTGTCCTCGGATTCTACCATTATCAACTACAAACAACATAACCTCTGCACCATGTCAAATCGTGACATAGACCCTCAATTACTTCTGCTGCGACGGCAATACCTACAATTGTTTGAACCTGACTTCCTCGCTTGGCCTCCACCCAAGTTTCTCAAGCACGCAGATGCGCAGAAATGGTTGTACAGGAATTTGTTTGACGCCAGTCGAAATCCAAGGCTGCCGCCTGAGAGGTATCAGATGCGCGTACTGAAGCAGCTCGTATCTAAAATCGAGAAGGCAATTGAGGACCCAGAGAAAGATGTGAGTTTTGATTTCTTTCGTCTTATCAAATTTCATTGGTATGTTTAGCTAAATGTTCTCTAGAAAGTTTCAAACGAGCTCATGACATGCCTTACTTCTTTTATGAGCAAGGGGGTGCCATCGGAATTTGAGGCTGCTCAGGAGGAAGCTTATGTTACTTTTACCTGTATACCAGAGGTGGAAGACTTCAATGATGGTCCTGATGATGCGCCGGAGCCTACGATAACGTTACTCGAGCGGCGGCACTTGATTTCAGGCTCACAGACAACAGGTTTCCGGACTTGGGAGGCATCTCTTCACCTCGGGACTTACTTTCTTACCCAAGCTGGCTCGCAGCTTGTCCGTGATAAGAATATCCTGGAATTGGGCACAGGCACTGGATTTCTTTCCATTATATTGGCGAAGTGCTTGCATGCAAATCATGTCACCGTCACGGATGGTGACAAAGGGGTGACAGAAGCACTAAATGAGAACCTCACCTTGAACGGGCTTGAAGACCAACATAAAGTACGAACGGAGACTCTAATATGGGGCCATGATCTTGGAGGGACCTGGGTTGAAGAAGATTGCAACGCCCACCCATACGACGTTATTATTGGTGCTGATATTGTAAGATTATTTCATGAAGTTCTATTTTTAGGGTTATATACTTACTCGGCCCATAGACATACGACAAGATAGCTATAGTATCTTTAGTGTCGACGCTCCAGAGCCTTTTCGACATGAGACCCGGGCTGAGTGTCATCATTGCCGGTGTGGTCCGAAACGCCGAAACCTTTCAGACATTCAGAGACGAGTGTGGTATGTTCTTCATCTGATAACATATGTGTGATAAGCAGCTCTAACTTTGATAGCCAACCGCAACTTCAGCGTGGAAGACATTGAGTTTGAGCCAAAGCCCATGCGTCAACAAAAATCGCTCTTCTACGCTGCCGCCGTCCCTATAAAAATACTGTCTATAACCTGCCCTAATTAGGTTCTATGACATACACACGAGCTCTGCATCAATAAGACAGGAGTAGGAGTGAGTTGGTATTCGTATCAACAGATCAGTTGTACAATCCGATATAAATGAAGCGATGCGAGTTCGACAGCGAGCAATTCTACAACATCTGATAAAAGTACGCTTTAGAGTAGGTAGTCAAGGCGGCTCAAGCCAAAAATATCTACAGGCAATGTATTTAAACTAGTAATTTACCATCTATGAAGCTTTTATGTGAATAACTACAGGCTAAGCAACCAATTTTATATTTGATAGTATCGTTGTCGGTTGCCACGGCTGGACTGTTCTCTCTCCTCCCATGCAGTCCTCTTATTATCAAAGGAACTCACTTATTAATGATCCTCGTTTTCAAGCTTACGCGCTTGACGTTAGGTGTTCTTGAAGAGCTACGAGCGCTTTTACGGCCCACGCAAGCTGGGGGTAGCCAATTACATAGGTGTCTGGGTTGACTAAACCTAGTTTCCAATCTGTTTCATCTGCGGGGAATTTGAATTCCTTGAGTTCTCGAGATAAGGGATCGAGTATTGCATCGATGAATAATTCGATATTTTTATGAGAATCGTTCGGAAAACAGTAGCCCGTAAGCATCGCCACAAGGACTATGATCACGTCTGGCTGTTTGTCTTTACAGCGTCTGAACAGGGTCGCGACATCCTTGGCCTTAGAAATGAACTTACCCACTCCTGTAGTGTTTAAGGTGGATAAGCTTGTCATATGATAATTCGGGTTATAGGTACTTAAGCTCATTCCTTTGCGCTCGATATCTGCAAATTTAACACAATGATATGCAGGTCCTGTAATCGGCCCATAAGCCAAATACTCTTCAGAGTAAGCGTAAGAAGCAAGGCCAGCTTTATAAAGGGCATTGACATGGTAGATCTTCACATTATTCACTAGTATGTTAGTATCAACTATTGCAATATGTGTCCCATCATAGTAATGTACTTTTGCAAAGCCAATTGCTGTTTGAAGGTTTGCCGCCCACGAACTGAAGCAAGATGAAACCTTCTTTCCCGTAAGATGGCCATTGATCATTCCCTTTAACATTGGAATATCGTTTATCGATGTTGGCCTATGATTGTCGAGAAAACCATGGGGGATGACACCTTGGGCACTATTGAGGCGTGGACTGATTGCGCCTCCAGAACGGGCATGAAAGCCACGAAAGAGGAATCGTGGAAGGTATTCTTGGTACCCTGCTGATTTGTTAGTATGCTTAGTTTCGGAGTACTTTAATGATCTCAGAATCTGCGAATTTCATTTACGTTCTAATATCTGGCGTTGTTTGTGCGTTAGAGTCATATTGCAACGACCTAGTAGACTGTGTCCTCGATAATCTTGGTTTGCTGCAGTAATAAAACAAGGCCCAGCTCTGTTATTGTCTCAGTGGAAGGGGTTTTTGAGTTGAATGTATTGGATGCTTGCTTCTAAATTTGAATGGTGAACTACTGAATCACGATACATACAGTTGTCTCACTCGTTCATTATATACATCTTCAAATTAATCTTCCTAAGGGTCTTATCACGAACTCGTTGCTCGTAGTTCCTCCTTTCATCATCTAGAATAAAGTCATTATAAGGTTCGAGGACAGGGTTTAGTATATTTAGCCTATTTAGCCTCAAGAAGGCGATGATGGCAATGCACGCAAGGAATATATGGAGAATGGGTAATTAACAAAGAAGATGCAAGGCCGCAGCAGCATCATAGAACATGGCAGAGCCTACGAGGTTCCAGACGAAATTTGAAAGTCTGCTCTAGAATTCTAATAACTGGGATAATAGACAAATAACTTAGCTGAGGCGATTTAGTAAGATTCTGGGAATAGGGGTTTCACTATATTGGACGAATGAAACAGCCAGAACGTTACTTACCTTCTTACCTAGTACCATTTCCAATCTCCGAAAAGCCCTAAGACGTCAAAGTACGCTATATTTTATAAACGTTTGAATCTTCATCGTTGGTCAGTACCTCTCATTATCAACCTTTCAATCTGCAGCAACATTGATAGGTACCATTTGCAACAACATACGTATTGATATGAGTATCCCCAATCGTCTTTCATACTTCACTAGATAGATGAAGGGATAACTGGGCTTATACCTTGTGTTAGCCTCACTCGACTAGGTTGAATAATTACAATCCAGGGTCTACTGGCTTATGATGATCTCGGAGGGTTATGTTAGAAGTTTGGCCGGCTGGAACTAGAAAGAAGCAAGGCTGAATTGAATGATTTGGTGGGTTTATTTTGCAATGACACCATGATAGGTATTGTACCTACCTAGCTGCCTAGGTGGTATGAAGGTAAGTGGCGAAGTTCTAGTTCACCCAAATTACGGGCTCAAAGCAGTGGATGTCCACAATATCATCGATAGTTTAGTGGATACCATTCCATCAACGCCGCGACAGCGCCTCAGACAATTCCAAACTTTTAAGCTAATAGTGAAAACCCTTTTATTGATGACAGCATCTATTTACTGAAGTTGCAGTAGTCTTTGCTATTTGTTTTTTTTTTGGTTGTCACATTGGCTTACATAACTTGATATCATGCCCGAATAGGTAAGATTCTAGAAGTGTTCGATGGTGGTCACTGGTAGTACCTCCTCAGAGAAATCTTGGCAGGGTCCCCTGGTGAACATATCTAAAATTCATGTCTTATTCTCATGAAGGAAGCCTCTTAAGACGCCACTCAAAATGCCTCCCGAATCAATATTCGGCATCCCTCGATGCGAGTTACCTGATCTGGCAGTTCCTATACTACCTATGCAGGACTCGCGCATGTTTGTCATAGCAGCCGGGCGTCAAAGATCGCAAGGTTGGATCGTGGCAGTGCTGAAGTCACGCTCACTACTCGCGTAGTACAGCCTTCATATCCAAGTGTAATTTGACAAACTCGCTACCGAATTTGGCTAACATTCATATTAGCGCGTGCGGTGCGGCACAGTATTCCGTTCATTCAAGATGCGCTAATATTTTCCTTGTTCCAACACATTTCAAGATCTGAACAAACAGTAGGAAGACGATCATGAAATCGGGAGCAAATGACAGAG